GAACCGGGGAACATCCTGCAAGCCCTCAGCCTCCAGTTCTCTGCACTGCCATCTAAACACTTTAATAGGGCTGACTGGTTAGCATGATGAGGCCGAAGATCACTGAAGAGTTAAAGCTTTAGAAAACGTGGCTGATTCTTCAATGCTCCATGATTCCTCCATCATTAAATGCCTGGGAGAAGAAGCTACACACTTGACAGTGGGTGACCAGAGAGGGGACATGGATGCTCCAGGGCAGGGGAGGGTGGAGATTGGCTTTACTTCATTTGCCTGTGTGGGAGGCTTTACAGTGCACAAACAGTACATGTGATCATCTCCTGTGATGCCCACGTCAGCCCTGAAGGTGGGCACAACAGGAGCTCTGGCCTGCACTTCATAGTTGGAAGAAATTCTCTTAAAGGCATGTGTCTTTCCAACCACACTGCTGTGTGATGCACCTGGGGCAGAAGCATACCTGAGGCCTCGGGGCCAGAGATGTCTGCACACTCCAGACCTCCAGATCATGCTCTAAGACCCCCCAAAAACATGAACTCCCCTGACTCTCACGATGTCCTGACCCAAGGTTTCTGTGGGAGGGCTGATGTCCTGGAATAGAGGCCTGAGCCCAGATAACAGCTTGGACACAAGACCCAGCCTCTGTCTCTCCCTTTCCATCCCAGACTCCAAACAGGATGCGGTTTATCTCAAATGAAGCCTTTTGGAAAGACGAGGGTGATTCAAAACAGGGCAATCCTTTCATACCAGCATCACAGCTGCCACGGGCTTCACGTTTTCAACGATCAGTTGGCTACAAGGGACCCCTGCAGCCAACTGACCCCTAACTGTATTAGGCTTTGTAACACCCAACTGTTTTAGAAAGCAACACTCTACACTGTCACATGACCACTTCACTTCCCTCCACTTGGCCAACCCAATGAGCTTATCTGATGAGGCACCTAGGCTGGAGTGTCAGTGGCTTGATGAACTCAGTTTATAAAGCTTCCCACCTGACTTACTATTGATCCGAGCCACTGTCTGTGCAGCTGGACTAAGGCCTGGCTGGGGATAGGCAGTGACTGCACCAGCACAGAGTGGACCTTTCTTCCTGTCAATTTCTTCCAAACCAAAAATCAGCATTTTCAGGCTCCTATTTCATCCCGAGCCCTGCAGGGACAATGCACAGAGTCCCTTCTCCTCTTAGAGGGAACCCTCCACAGCTACAGCCTGGAGACCCCACCCCAGGACTGTCCCTGAGGACCACCCACATCCTATTTCTAACCAAATGTCCATTCCTCTAACCCGACGGCTCTGTCTCTTCTTGCTTCTCTCCCCAGAAGGACCCTAAACAGTAGGGATCCTGTTCTCATCCCACCACATTTATATCCATATCAAAACCCCTGTCTTTCCTTTACAAAACCAAACACATACACCATGGAATACTGTGCATCCATAAAAAAGAGTGAGTTCTTGTCCTTTGCAGGGACATAGATACAGCTGGAAGCCATCATCCTCAGCAAACTAACACAGGAACAGAAAACCGAACACCGCATGTTCTCACTCATAAGTGGGAGTTGAACAGTAAAAACACATGGGCAAAGGGAGGGGAACACCACACACTGGGGCTTGTCGGGGTAGGGGGCAAGGGGAGGGAGAGCATTAGGACAAATACTTAATGCATGTTGGGCTTAAAATCTAGATGACAGGTTGATAGGTGCAGCAAACCACCATGGCCCATGTATACCTGTGTAACTAACCTGCACATTCTGCACATGTATCCCAAACTCAAAAAAAATTTTAAAAACAAATCTCGGAATCAAGATTGCTAACATATTGTGTTGGATTTTAGCAACAGCATTCGAAAGCATTTGACTTTTAATTCACCTTTCTTGTCAAGTCTTTTACAGAATTTGCTATTCATGATTTTCCCAGTTAAAAGAGAGCAGTGTGAGCGTGTTCTTGTACATACAAAATTGAAGTCACTTCTACTTAAAATATAGATAGACTCCCAGGGAGACAATAAGGATGGACATTTCCACGATGGAAAGATGATTTGCATTCGTTCTGCAAGGTGATGGCTGTTTTATCTGTGGCACAGTGCACATATATGACATGCACAGACTGCTGCCTTCTTACAAACACTGTTACCAGCACCCAGATGTAAATCTCCTGGCAGTCCCTCTTCAGCTAATTTCCAGGCAGTAACCCCAGGAGATACCTACTCTGATCATGATCAATGTATTTTAAATTTATTTTTAAACATCATACAAAAGCAAACCTACAGCATGTACTCTTTTGTTTCTGATTGAAAATTATATGTGAATATGTGAATTTCACCCATGTTCCACGTGATGAAACATCTGTCATTTTGTACTGCTGAGTCAGTATATAACATTGTAGAAAGTTGGCACAATTAGTCATTCACTCTGCTGTTTCTCATGATGGTTGCTTGAAACAAGGCTGTAAAGTTCCCCAGGTGGACAACATCATCCTTGGCTCATGTCTCTTGAACATAGGTGGTGGGAGTAGGACTGTGGGGTCACAGGTGCTGATGACTGTGGTACACACTAGAAAGCCATTTATCAAAGTGGTTGAAACTAAGTATGTTCCCAGAGTAACATGACAGTTCAAGTTCCTCCACATCCTCACCACCCTTTGCATTTTTGTCTCTGATAGCGTGCCTATTCTGGTGGGTGTAAGAGTGAGAACCTAGTTTCAATGTGTACTCTGCTAATGACTTGGGATTGAGTGCATTTTCATGTGCTGAACTCGCTGAGGTTTCTAGGATTCTGATAAGGCACATAACCTTATGAGCTCCTGAATGGCTATTTAAGGTGCTTTGTTAGAAGAAGGATCCAATAGGCCAAATTGCAGAGGGATATGGAACAATGGAAAGATAATCTAGATTTCAGAAAAAAAAAAAAATAGAAAAGACAAATAAAATGGAAATGTCACTAAAAATGGACAAATATCACAACAAAGCAATTTAGAGAAGGCAAAATGTGGATGGATAAAAGTCAAATGAACACGTTCTGATCCACCTGAGGTGAAAGAAACCCCTGTGGAACCCAGCACGTCTGTGTGGGAGGAGCTGCCTGGAACAGCAGAGAACAAGGCAAAAGGGCTTGCGGGGAGCAAAATGGGAGTGACAGGAGCTGCCAGAGCCCCCTCAGCAGGAAGCCAGGGAGAGGGCTTGGAGATCAGACAGCCAGGGTCAGGGGCAGGCAAAACCTATAGGTTCCTGTGGATGCCCTAGAATTGTGCAGTTACTTCTGAGTCAGGCATGAAATCAGTCAGTGTTGAGCAGACAACTAACGATGCAATTTAAAAAATAAAAATAAAACAAATTTCCAGTCAGGCTGTGGAGCTTCAGAAGCTCTTACTCACCCATCCGGCAGGACGTCCCTCAGCACATAGTAACATTAAGTGTGCACCCTCCATGCGGCTAGTCCACTGTGGTTCAGAGATGGAGGAAAATGAGCAGAAGAAAGTCCTCACTGGTCACGTGTTATTGGCAGCAAACCTGGCTGCTCAGCACAAGGGTTTATAAGTAAAGTGTAGCTTACGCAATGCTGACCTGTTGGAAGGGATGGAAATGGTTCATATGCACATATGGATGAAATTAAATGTTTAAGTCTGAGTTTAAATCTCAGAAAAAATAAAAAATTAACCAGATGAGGTCTAAAAAGGAAAACTTATTTGCTTAAGAAATAGAATCTTTAAGTATGTGTAGAGATGATTTGGAAGTCGAAGTGGAACCACATGATTTACACTTGAGTTGGTGATTCAGAGATGGAGGAAAACATGAGTTGAAATGGTTATAAAATATATGAAAGAGAGGCCTTTAGGTGGCTGATGGTGAGACTTCTGGGTCCCAGGAAAAACCGACAGATAGTGCCTGCCACACATGCTCTGCTGGCACAGCTGGCAGGAACAAGTGACCTCCCTTCAACCCACATCCCCTTTGTTTAGGATTCCCGGCTGCCCCAGCCCCTCTCTGACATCGTGAGCAGCTTCAGAAAGGAGGATCAGGACAGCCAAGGCTCTCCACCTGAGATTCCCTGGTGTGCCAGAGGCGGGAAGGCTTTGGGGTCGGAGGGCAGTATGGGACAGTGAGGGACACTCCTGAGATGGCCTCTTTCAGCTGGAAAATGACTCAGAGCTTCCATGGGAGTTTGGTCATCAGGGAGCCCACTGGGTAGATTTGGGTGGCAACACTAACTGCTAGGACACACCTTCAGCCCACCAGGTTAGCTGTGAGAACTCAGAACAGAGGGGCCCAGGAAGACGCAGCTCTTAAATGCAGTGGCTCTGCTCCCATGAAGGTTTTGGGAGATGGGAAAGCTGAGGCTCCACAGCAAGGGTGTCAGGAAGTGGAGCGGCATCTGAACCATCCCCAGGGCTTGTCTTTACCCTCCTCCCTCACTGCACAGAGGAGGGGGCACCCCACCTAGGGACAGGGATCCACAGTCAGCTCTGCTCCATGCACCCTCCCTCCTCACTATGCTGCTTCTGACCCACAGTCCCTCCCCTCTGTCCAATTTAGGGTCTGTGGCCCAGGTAGGGCCAACTCAGCCACCCTCAGCATCCGAAGGTTCAATGTCACAGCTGTCTGCACCGAGGACAGCAGCAACACTGGCAACGTTGACAGCTGGGGCTAACATGACACATTCCTCACATGTACACGCTGTGAGCATTTTCTGTCACTCTGTGCTTTGTAAGTCATATTCTTAAAGGGGACTTCTGCTATGCCAGATAGTTTCAATATTTATGTAGACCAATGCTTTCTTCTCAAGATCAGTATTTTTGTGTCCTAAAACTATACAGTATATATATATATACACACACACAAACTATATACTTAACTGTATACACGTGTATGTGCATGTATATACAACTGTGCATGTATATACATACACACATATGTATATAGTTGTATATATACATATACACACATATATGTTCATATAAAAAACATTTGAATAATATCTCAAAGTTCTGTTAAAAACATAAATGGCTTAATATTCTAGTGCTAAATAAGGGATGGCTTTATTTAAAACAGTTTCCATTAGATTCCAGTAGAGAGGGGAGAGTCGCTCCTTTAAATGGAAGCCTCTGGAACCTGGAGAAAGCAATGGTGAAGTGGGCAACCTTCCTGCAGAGCTACCAGAGGCATGCATGAAGCCCCAGCAGTGGATGATGCCCCAGACGTGGATAATGCCCCAGGTGTAAATGATCCCCACCTGTGGATGATGCCTCAGGTGTGGATGATGTTCCAGGCGTGGATGATGTTCCAGGCATGGATGATGCCACAGCCCACAGCAGTGGATGACACCCTAGGGGTAGATGATATCCCAGCAGTGGATGATGCACCAGCAGTGGATGACGTCCCAGGTGTCGATGATTCCCCAGCAGTGGATGATGCTCCAGGTGTGGATGATGCCACAGGCATGGATGTCCCAGCAGTGGATGATGTCCCAGGCATGGATGATGCCCCAGGTGTGGATGATGCCCCCCACGTGGATGATGTCCCAGGCGTGGATGATGTCCCAGCAGTGGATGATGCCCCAGGTGTGGATGATGCCACAGAAGTGGATGCTGTCCCAGCAGTGGATGATGCCCCAGGCGTGGATGATGCCCAAGGTGTGAATGATGTCCCAGGCGTGGATGATACCTGAAATGTGGATGATGTCCCAGGCATGGATGATGCCCCAGGAGTGGATGATGCCCCAGCAATGGATGCCTAAGGTGTAGATGATGTCCCAGCAGTGGATGATGCCCCAGGCATGGATGATGCCCCAGGTGTAAATGTCCCAGCAGTGAATGATATCCCAGCAGTGGATGATGCCCCAGGTGTGGATGATGCCCCAGGCGTGGATGATGCCACAGCCGTGGATGATGTCCCAGCAGTGGATGATTCCCCAGGTATGGAAGATGCTCCAAGGCATAAATGATGCACATCTATGGATGATGCCCCAGGCATGGATGATGCCACAGCAGTGGATGATGTCCCAGCAGTGGATGATGGTCCAGGCATGGATGATCTCCCAGCAGTGGATGATGCCCCAGGCGTGGATGATGCCCCAGGTTTGGATGATGTTCCAGGCATGGATGATGCCCAGGTGTGAATGCCGCAGCAGTGGATGATGCCCCAGCAGTGGATGATGCCCCAGACGTAAATGTCCCAGCACTGGATGATGTCCCAGCAGTGGATGATGCCCCAGGCATGGATGATGCTCCAGGTGTGGATGTCCCAGCAGTGGATGATGTCCCAGCAGTGGATGATGTTCCAGGCATGGATGTGTCCCAGCAGTGGATGGATGATGTCCCAGCAGTGGATGATGCCCCAGGTGTGGATGATGCCACAGCAGTGGATGATGCCCCAGGCGTGGATGATGCCACAGAAGTGGATGTCCCAGCAGTGGATGATGCCCCAGGCATAAATGTCCCAGCAGTGGATGCCCCAGGCATAGATGTCCCAGCAGTGGATGATGCCCCAGGCATGGATGATGTCCCAGGTGTGGAAGATGCCCCAGGCATAAATGATGCCCAGCTATGGATGATGCCCCAGGCGTGGATGATGCTCCAGGTGTGGATGATGCCACAGCAGTGGATGATGTCCCAGCAGTGGATGATGCCCCAGGCGTGGATGATGTCCCACCAGTGGATGATGCCCCAGGCATGGATGTCCCAGCAGTGGATGATGCCCCAGGTGTGGAAGATGCCCCAGGCATAAATGATGCCCATCTATGGATGATGCCCCAGGCGTGGATGATGCCACAGCAGTGGATGATGTCCCAGCAGTGGATGACGCTCCAGGCGTGGATGATGTCCCAGCAGTGGATGATGTCCCAGGCATAAATGTCTCAGCAGTAGATGATATCCCAGCAGTGGATGACATTCCAGGAGTGGATGATGTACCAGCAGTGGATGATGTCACAGGCAATGAATGATGCCACAGCAGTGGATGATGTCCCACCAGTGGATGATGCCCCAGGTGTGGATGATGCTCCAGGCATGGATGTCTCAGCAGTGGATGATGTCCCAGCAGTGGATGACGTTCCAGGCATGGATGATGCCACAGCAGTGGATGGTGTCCCAGGTGTGGATGGTGTCCCAGCAGTGGATGGTGTCCCAGCAGTGGATGATGCCCCAGGCGTGGATGATGTCCCGCCAGTGGATGATACCCGAGGTGTGGATGTCCCAACAGTGGATGATGCCCCAGGCATGGAAGATGCTCCAGGCATAAATGATGCCCATCTATGGATGATGCCCTAGGCGTGGATGATGCCACAGCAGTGGATGATATCCCAGCAGTGGATGATGCCCCAGGTGTGGATGATGCTCTGGGCATGGATGATGCCACAGCAGATGATGCCCCAGGGATGGATAATGCCCCAGCAGTGGGTGATACCCCAAACGTGGATGATGTCCCAGCAGTGGATGATGGCCCAGGCATGGATGATGCCCCAGGAGTGGATGATGCCCCAGCAATAGATGCCTAAGGCATACATGATGTCCCAGCAGTGGATGATGCCCCAGGCATGGATGATGCCCCAGGTGTAAACGTCCCAGCAGTGGATGATGTCCCAGCAGTGGATGATGCCCCAGGTGTGGATGATGCCACAGGTGTGGATGTCCCAGCAGTGGATGATGTCCCAGCAGTGGATGATGTTCCAGGCATGGATGGTGTCCCAGCAGTGGATGATGTCCCAGCGGTGGATGATGTCCCAGCAGTGGATGATGCCCCAGGCGTGGATGATGCCACAGCAGTGGATGATGACCCAGGCGTGGATGTCCTAGGAGTGGATGATGCCCCGGAAGATGCTCCAGGCATAAATGATGCCCATCTATGGATGATGACCCAGGCGTGGATGATGCCACAGCAGTGGATGATGTCCCAGCAGTGGATGATGCCCCAGGCACGGATGATGTCCCAGCAGTGGATGATGCCCCAGGCGTGGATGATGCCCCAGGCATGGATGATGTCCCAGCAGTGGATGATTTCCCAGGCGTAAATGTCCCAGCAGTGGATGATGTCCCAGGAGTGGATGATGTTCCAGGCATGGATGATGTCCCAGAAGTGGATGATGCCACAGCAGTGGATGATGTCCCACCAGTGGATGATGCCCCAGTTGTGGATGATGCCCCAGGTGTGGATGTCCCAGCAGTGGATGATGTCCCAGCAGTGGATGACGTTCCAGGCATGGATGATGCCAAAACAGTGGATGATGCCCCAGGTGTGGATGGATGATGTCCCAGGTGTGGATGATGTCCCAGCAGTGGATGATGCCCCAGGAGTGGATGATGTCCCACCAGGCGTGGATGTCCCAGCAGTGGATGATGCCCCAGGTATGGAAGATGCTCCAGGCATAAATGATGCCCATCTATGGATGATGCCCCAGGCGTGGATGATGCCAAAGTAGTGGATGATGTCCCAGCAGTGGATGATGCTCTGGGCGTGGATGATGCCACAGCAGATGATGCCCCAGGGATGGATAATGCCCCAGCAGTGGATGCCTAAGGCGTAGATGATGTCCCAGCAGTGGATGATGCCCCAGGCATGGATGATGCCCCAGGCGTAAATGTCCCAGCAGTGGATGATATCCCAGCAGTGGATGATGCCCCAGGTGTGGATGATGCCCCAGGCGTGGATGTCCCAGCAGTGGATGATGCCCCAGGCGTGGATGATGTCCCAGCAGTGGATGATGTCCCAGCAGTGGATGATGCCCCAGGCGTGGATGTCCCAGCAGTGAATGATGCCCCAGGTGTGAATGTCCCAGCAGTGGATGATGTCCCAGCAGTGGATAGGGATATGTTCCAGGCATGGATGGTGTCCCAGCAGTGGATGATGTCCCAGCGGTGGATGATGTCCCAGCAGTGGATAATGTCCCAGCAGTGGATGATGTTCTAGGCATGGATGATGTCCCAGCAGTGGATGATGCCCCAGGTGTGGATGATGCCCCAGGCGTGGATGTCCCAGCAGTGGATGATGCCCCAGGCGTGGATGATGTCCCAGCAGTGGATGATGTCCCAGCAGTGGATGATGCCCCAGGCGTGGATGTCCCAGCAGTGAATGATGCCCCAGGTGTGAATGTCCCAGCAGTGGATGATGTCCCAGCAGTGGATGATGTTCCAGGCATGGATGGTGTCCCAGCAGTGGATGATGTCCCAGCGGTGGATGATGTCCCAGCAGTGGATAATGTCCCAGCAGTGGATGTTGTTCTAGGCATGGATGATGTCCCAGCAGTGGATGATGCCCCAGGTTTGGATGATGTTCCAGGCATGGATGATGCCCAGGTGTGAATGCCGCAGCAATGCCGCAGCAGTGGATGATGCCCCAGGCATAAATGATGTCCATCTATGGATGATGCCCCAGGCGTGGATGATGCCACAGAAGTGGATGATGTCCCAGCAGTGGATGATGCCCCAGGCGTGGATGATGCTCCAGGTGTGGATGTCCCAGCAGTGGATGATGTCTCAGCAGTGGATGACGTTCCAGGCATGGATGGTGTCCCAGCAGTGGATGATGTCCCAGTGGTGGATGATGCCCCAGGCGTGGATGATGCCACAGCAGTGGATGATGTCCCAGCGGTGGATGATGTCCCAGCAGTGGATGATGCCCCAGGCGTGGATGATGCCACAGCAGTGGATGATGTCCCAGGTGTGGATGATGTCCCAGCAGTGAATGATGCCCCAGATGTAAATGTCCCAGCAGTGGATGATGCCCCAGGCATTAATGTCCCAGCAGTGGATGATGCCCCAGGCATGGATGATGTCCCAGGTGTGGAAGATGCCCAGGCATAAATGATGCGCCCCAGGCATGGATGATGCTCCAGGTGTGGATGATGCCACAGCAGTGGATGATGTCCCAGCAGTGGATGATGCCCCAGGCGTGGATGATGTCCCACTAGTGGATAATGCCCCAGGCATGGATGTCCCAGCAGTGGATGATGCCCCAGGTATGGAAGACGCTCCAGGCATAAATGATGCCCATCTGTGGATGATGCCCCAGGTGTGGATGATGCCACAGCAGTGGATGATGTTCCAGCAGTGGATGATGTCCCAGAAGTGGATGATGCCCCAGGCAGGGATGATGTCCCAGCAGTGGATGATGCCCCAGGTGTGGAAGATGCCCCAGGCATAAATGATGCCCATATATGGATGATGCCCCAGGCGTGGATGATGCCACGGCAGTGGATGATGTCCCAGCAGTGGATGATGCCCCAGGCATGGATGGTGTCCCAGCAGTGGATGATGTCCCAGCAGTGGATGATGTCCCAGGCGTAAATGTCCCAGCAGTGGATGATGTGGATGATGTCCCAGCAGTGGATGATGTTCCAGGCATGGATGATGTCCCAGCAGTGGATGATGTCACAGGTGTGAATGATGCCACAGCAGTGGATGATGTCCCACCAGTGGATGATGCCCCAGGTGTGGATGATGCCCCAGGCGTGGATGTCCCAGCAGTGGATGATGTCCCAGCAGTGGATGATGTTCCAGGCATGGATGATGCCACAGCAGTGGATGATGCCCCAGGTGTGGATGATGCCCCAGGTGTGGATGATGTCCCAGGTGTGGATGGTGTCCCAGCAGTGGATGATGCCCCAGGTGTGGATGATGTCCCACCAGTGGATGATGCCCCAGGTGTGGATGTCCCAGCAGTGGATGATGCCCCAGGTATGGAAGATGCTCCAGGCATAAATGATGCCCATCTGTGGATGATGCCCCAGGTGTGGATGATGCCACAGCAGTGGATGATGTCCAGCAGTGGATGATGTCCCAGCAGTCGATGATGTTCCAGCAGTGGATGCCCCAGGTGTTGATAATGCTCCAGGCATGGATGATGCCACAGCGGTGGATGCCCCAGGGATGGATAATGCCCAAGCAGTAAATGATACCCCAGGCGTGGATGATGTCCCAGCAGTGGATGATGCCCCAGGCGTGGATGATGCCCCAGCAGTGGATGATGTCCCAGCAGTGGATGATGCCCCAGGCATAAATGTCCCAGCAGTGGATGATGTCCAAGAAGTGGATGACGCCCCAGGCGTGGATGATGCCCAAGCAGTAAATGATACCCAGGCGTGGATGATGTCCCAGCAGTGGACGATGCCCCAGGCGTGGATGATGTCCCAGCAGTGGATGATGCCCCAGGCATAAATGTCCCAGCAGTGGATGATGTCCCAGAAGTGGATGATGTTTCAGGCATGAATGATGCCACAGCAGTGGATGATGCCCCAGGTGTGGATGATGTCCCAGGTGTGGATGATGTCCCAGGTGGGGATGATGTCCCAGCAGTGGATGATGCCACAGCAGTGGATGATGCCCCAGGTGTGGATGATGCCCCAGGAGTGGATGTCCCAGCAGTGGATGATGTCCCAGCAGTGGATGACGTTCCAGGCATGGATTATGCCACAGCAGTTGATGATGTCCCAGCAGTGGATAATGTCCCAGCAGTCGATGATGTTCCAGCAGTGGATGATGCCCCAGGTGTGGATGATGCTCCAGGCGTGGATGATGCCACAGCAGTGGATGATGCCCCAGGTATGGATAATGCCCAAGCAGTAAATGATACCCCAGGCGTGGATGATGTCCCAGCAGTGGATAATGCCCCAAGCATGGATGATGTCCCAGCAGTGGATGATGTCCCAGCAGTGGATGATGCCCCAGGCGTAAATGTCCCAGCACTGGATGATGTCCCAGCAGTGGATGATGCCCCAGGCGTGGATGATGCTCCAGGTGTGGATGTCCCAGCAGTGGATGATGTCCAGCAGTGGATGATGTTCCAGGCATGGATGGATGCAGCAGTGGATGATGTCCCAGTGGTGAATGATGTCCCAGCAGTGGATGATGCCCCAGGCGTGGATGATGCCACAGCAGTGGATGATGCCCCAGGCGTGGATGATGCCACAGAAGTGGATGATGTCCCAGCAGTGGATGATGCCCCAGGCATAAATGTCCCAGCAGTGGATGATGCCCCAGGCGTGGATGATGTTCCAGGTGTGGATGATGCCACAGCAGTGGATGATGTCCCAGCAGTGGATGATGCCCTAGGCGTGGATGATGTCCCACCAGTGGATGATGCCCCAGGCGTGGATGTCCTAGGAGTGGATTATGCCCCAGGTATGGAAGATGCTCCAGGCATAAATGATGCCCATCTATGGATGATGCCCCAGGCGTGGATGATGCCACAGCAGTCGAGGATGTCCCAGCAGTGGATGATGCCCCAGCAGTGGATGATGCCCCAGGTGTGGAAGATGCCCCAGGCATAAATGATGCCCATCTATGGATGATGCCCATGCCACAGCAGTGGATGATGTTCCAGGCGTGGATGATGCCACAGCAGTGGATGATGTCCCAGCAGTGGATGATGCCCCAGGCATGGATGATGTCCCAGCAGTAAATGATGTCACAGGAGTGAATGATGCCACAGCACTGGATGATGTCCCACCAGTGGATGATGCCCCAGGTGTGGATGATGCCCCAGCCGTCGATGTCCCAGCAGTGGATGATGTCCCAGCAGTGGATGACGTTCCAGGCATGGATGATGCCACAGCAGTGGATGGTGTCCCAGGTGTGGATGGTGTCCCAGCAGTGGATGATGCCCCAGGCGTGGATGATGTCCCACCAGTGGATGATGCCCCAGGCGTGGATGTCTCAGCAGTGGATGATGCCCCAGGTATGGAAGATGCTCCAGGCATAAATGATGCCCATCTATGGGTGATGCCCCAGGTGTGGATAATGCCACAGCAGTGGATGATATCCCAGCAGTGGATGATGCCCCAGGTGATGATGCTCTGGGCGTGGATGACGCCACAGCAGATGATGCCCCAGGGATGGATAATGCCCCAGCAGTGGGTGATACCCCAAACATGGATGATGTCCCAGCAGTGGATGATGGCCCAGGCATGGATGATGCCCCAGGAGTGGATGATGCCCCAGCAATGGATGCCTAAGGCATACATGATGTCCCAGCAGTGGATGATGCCCCAGGCATGGATGATGCTCCAGGCGTAAACGTCCCAGCAGTGGATGATGTCCCAGCAGTGGATGATGCCCCAGGTGTGGATGATGCCACAGGTGTGGATGTCCCAGCAGTGGATGATGTTCCAGGCATGGATGGTGTCCCAGCAGTGGATGATGTCCCAGCGGTTGATAATGTCCCAGCAGTGGATGATGCCCCAGGCGTGGATGATGCCACAGCAGTGGACGATGACCGAGGCGTGGATGTTTCAGGAGTGGATGATGTCCCAGGTATGGAAGATGCTCCAGGCATAAATGATGCATGATGCCCATCTATGGATGATGCCCCAGGCGTGGATGATGCCACAGCAGTGGGTGATGTGCCAGGCGTAAATGTCCCAGCAGTGGATGATGTCCCAGCGGTGGATGATGTTCCAGGAGTGGATGATGACCCAGGCATAAATGTCCCAGCAGTGGATGATGCCCCAGGCATGGATGATGTCCCAGGTGTGGAAGATGCCCCAGGCATAAATGATGCCCATCTATGGATGATGCCCCAGGCATGGATGATGCTCCAGCTGTGGATAATGCCCATCTATGGATGATGCCCCAGGCATGGATGATGCCACAACAGTGGATGATGTCCCAGCAGTGGATGATGCCCCAGGCACGGATGATGTCCCAGCAGTGGATGATGCCCCATGCGTGGATGATGCCCCAGGCATGGATGATGTCCCAATAGTGGATGATTTCCTAGGCGTAAATGTCTCAGCAGTGGATGATGTCCCAGCAGTGGATGCTGTTCCAGGCATGGATGATGTCCCAGCAGTGGATGATGCCACAGCAGTGGATGATGTCCCACCAGTGGATGATGCCCAGGTGTGGATGATGCCCCAGGCATGGATGTCCCAGCAGTGGATGATGTCCCAGCAGTGGATGATGTCCCAGCAGTCAATGATGTTCCAGCAGTGGATGATGCCCCAGGGTGGATGATGCTTCAGGTGTGAATGTCCCAGCAGTAGATGATGTCCCAGCAGTTGATGATGTTCCAGCAGTGGATGATGCCCCAGGTGTGGATGATGCTCCAGGCGTGGATGATGCCACAGCAGTGGATGATGCCCCAGGGTTGGATAATGCCCCAGCAGTGGATGATACCCCAGGCGTGGATGATGTCCCAGCAGTGGATGATGCCCCAGGCATGGATGATGTCCCAGCAGTGGATGATGTCCCAGCAGTGGATGATGTTCCAGCAGTGGATGATGCCCCAGGCATGGATGATGCCACAGCAGTGGATGATGTCCCAGCAGTTGATGATGCCCCAGGTGTGGATGATGCCCCAGGCATGGATGATGTTCCAGCAGTGGATGATGCCCCAGGCGTGGATGATGCCCCAGGTGTGGATGATGCCCCAGGCATGGATGATGTTCCAGCAGTGGATGATGCCCCAGGCGTGGATGATGCCCCAGGTGTGGATGATGTCCCAGCAGTGGATGATGCCCCAGGTGTGGATGATGCCCATCTGTGAATGTCCCTGATGTCTCAGCCATGGATGATTATTCAGCTTTGGATGATGCCCCAGCCATGGATAAAAGCCAACAGTTGTTTTCAAGAAAAGTCTAGTACACAAGTCATTAGTGAGATTTATCAAGGAAAAACGGAAATCACAAAATTAATATCAGAAATTAATAGGAAGACTTAACCACAGAGAGAGCAGAGATTACAAAACAATGAATGGACATTATGAATACATAACTTGTTTTAAAGCAACGTTTTGTTTCACTTTGGCTGGTGTTCATGTGCTGCAGTAGCCAGCCAATAGTGGGAGTCTCCTCATGGGCTGGGTTGAGGCTGAGGGCCTTTAACCCGCATGCACAAGAGAGTTGCCATGAGGGGATGGAAACCAGGCTACAAACCAAGTGTTGCACAGAGTTCCTACCTGTCCCTCTCCCTCACCATTTTCAGCTGGCCGGGTTTGAGCATTTTAGGGCTTGGGAAGATATTACTACATCTACTAAAAATCATCACGGATCCTTATGTGCTTTGGCCAGCTGCTGAGCAAATTAACTTCACACCTGAAGTGGGCCACACTAGCCTGTGCGGTCCCCCACTCCTCTTAGAATTTGTGAGCTTGGGGCCTGCTGGAGGGTGGACGGTGGGAGGAGGGGGAAGATCAGGAAAATAACTGATATTAAGCTGAATACGTGGATGATGAAATCACCTGCACAACAAATGCTTCATGACACACGTTTACGCATGTACCAAACCTGCTCATCCCGCACAGGTTCCCCTGAACTTAAAAATTAAACAAAAAAGGACCTGTGAGCCGACCCATGCTTTTCAAACTGATGACTACGCCGGTCTGTGAGGAGATGTACCTGTAACTGCCCTGGGTTGTGTGACCATGGAGGCCACTTTATAACGATGGGCAGTCTCTGGGAATTCCTTAGGGCTTAAACACGAATGCTGGACTCCCTGCATGGTGGTCAACACCCCATGACTGAGAGCATACCAGTAGTTGCCAGTGTCAGCACTGGCCTAGACTCCTGGGTTTGTGTTTTCACTTTTTCATTCAGGAACTCAGGAGCTGGGGCCACCCCCTGGCCCTTCAGGTTCTCCACCTGAGCTGTGAGGATAATAAACCAGACCCAGGGATGGCTCAGGTGAGGGTGGAGGAGTCACTGTACAGACAGAGTAGAGTGGGGCTGGATTTTATTCTTTAAAAGTAGACACTGGAGAACGGGCTGTGTAAATGGGAAATCTCTCCTGAGAAAACACACAGCCTCACCTGCACAGAAGCACACACGTTCACATCACATGATCCTCACACAAGACACCACCAATCCTAGAGCACCCAACTCAGTACCAGCCAAAAGGGAGCACAGATGCTGCCTCAAAATTTGGCCATGATTTTTCCCCGGGGAACTCAGGTTTCTAAAAAACACTTTCACTATGCTTATTCCTATCACAATCCCAGAATCAGCGTGGCACTGCACATTGAAACCAGCTTTTTTCTTGACAATAATTCCAGAATACTTACCAGAGTCACACTTCAGATAAAACACCGGCACTACCTGCAACACAGAAACAAAGCTTTATGAGGGGCATGTCATGCTGTGGACTGTTTGCAAAAGGTTCTGTTTCTCTCAATGAATACTGAAAACCTGATCACAAACTTAGTCAGCTGCTACAGTAATCAAAACAGCACGGTACTGGTACCAAAACAGAGATGTAGACCAATGGAACAGAAAAGAGGTTCATTGGACGGGACAGAATGGGAGGCCACAGAAGCCTGGGATAGATTTTATGTCCCCACAACATCATGGCGTGCTGATGCTTACTGAATGGTACAACTGAGGACTGGGTGATTGTTTGATTGTATGTTTTTATTCCAAGAGGCTCAACAACATGCTCTATGGAAGCATGATCCTTCAAATGCACTCATCTATCCTTTCAGTAATTTTTCACTCCCTCAGCCAAGAGCTTCTCCATCTGGGTTTCTGCAACACCAATCTCAAACCCATAAAGCATGGGTCACAGCAACCCCGCTAAGCTCACACGCCCAGCTGTGGAAGCAAACTTCACTTTATGGCAAGTCTACTTTGCCACTACAGGCAGTGCAGCATGTTAGTTTATAGATTAGCCTTTGGTGTTAGAGAGGTCCAGCTGTGGGTGTGTCCCGTGAATAATTTACTTAACTGAGATTCACATTCCTCATCTGTATAATGAATAGAACCAAACTATGCCTCAAAGTGATTGTGATGCTTCAAAGAGGCAACATAGAAAAGTGACCACATAGTATCCAATCACTTATCCTTTACATTTTAATAACTTAAGCAGCTGTTATCAAGTACAGTCATGTGGCATAGTGACATTTTGATCAATGATTACTTACATGGCTGGGGTCAGATGGGCGTACACAAACCTACTGGCCTGCATCATTAGATTAAAAGAAAATTTTTTGTTAAAAATTTTAAGTAAGATGCTATACAATTGAAAGACTAACCACAGTGATAGAAGTTTCAGGGAGAGATAAAACTAAAAGTGCACAAGGATTTGGAGAAATGTCTCCTCACATATGCTGCCACAGGAGCATGAATTAGGGACACCATTTTGAATAATATTTGTCACTGTTCATGGCAATAAAAGATATGTTCCCTTCTAACAATCTACTTCACAGAAATGAGTGCCAGTATTATTCCAAAGCCAGTTACACTTACGAACGTGAATGAATTTCAAATCATAATGTGAGCGAAAAAGCCAGACTCCGAGAATCACATATTGACTTATTCGTATGACAGTCCAAACCTGGAGAGGTCTAAACAAGTCATTAGCAGTCAGAGCAGGTCCCTTAAGGAAGAAGATGAATAAAGGAGGAGGGAAATTTCAGGGAGGAACCAGGGATGTCTGCACTTGTGCCATCTCACCCTCTCAGATGTCAGGGTCCCAAAAGAGGGTGCTGGCAATATTTAGGTGGTTCAAAGGTCTCATGAAGAAAAGCAAATGACAGACAGCAGCAAACTCAGTTCTTTAATGAAGTGCTCCAGACTGGATCGAGGGTGCGCACTTAGTTTTGCATCTTATGTAAAATGAGGATCCTCCAGAGATAAAAATGTCATCCATAGCACAGCATGGACAGAATTATATGCTATCAGCACGTTTTATCCTATGGAGTTTCCTGCACACCTTTTAGCAATCTGTGAATAAAAGGTCCAGAACTTAACTTATAAATATCAGAGATATTAGAGAACAACGAAAGCCTAATTTTGAAGACAGGAAATAGTGTAATGCAGAAACTCTTCGTTTCCCCAAAAATTACAGAACTGGAGAAAAGAAGCCTCATTTCAGAATCTGCGGTAGGGGTGGGAAGTGGAGGCTACAAATGTGCTCAAGGTCAGACTCCTTCTCTGCCTTCCCAGGAGACTGGAGACCTACCAGCGAGCCCAGAGTGAACATTCACTCTGCCATCCACCCCTGGGAGATCCCTTTAAACCCACAGAGAGGATAGAAACATAAACGTGCTATAACAAGTCTTAAAAGTTCAGAGGGTGATTATCAATTTCCCCTTAGCACACAGCAGAGTTTTTTCTAAGTTCAAGTAAATGCCTGTGAGAAAATGCTCCCACAGATTCCTTCCTTTCCTTACAGATGACACTCAATGCCCAGCCCTACATCCCTTGTGCATAATCCCAAGGAGTGCTGATTAATCCGAGCCAAAGGTTTTGATGTTTCACTGGGCAGAAAAGAGCAGGCGTACTGCAGAGATCATCTCTAATGAACACAGCCCAGAGACACAGTTCCTACCTTCATGACAACAAACTTTGAAAAGAGCAAACCAAACCTCGCACACATTTTCATTTTCTTTCTGATTTCATACCCCCTGCTTCAGCCCCTCAAGCAGCGGGGATAACATGAAGGCAAAGATTCTTAGGAACCCTTTCACATTAGGTCCTACCTGGAAAGTAGTTCCCTACCTTGGGGTATGCCTTTGATGACTTTGAAGATGCTCCACAGAAGCCAGTCTTTAGAAAAATAACATCAGGACAAGTCATTAGAAAGAGTGACTCACCCACTCCTCTTCCAGCAGCTAAAGCCACGTGGCCTCACACATCATTCCCTGGTCTTTGTTCTGAGTTGATAAACCTTCCTACAGCCTCTCTGGCTGGAGTTCTGTATTGGCCAAATCACTTCCTCTCAGGAGACCCCCCGATCCTCCTTCCCAGCAGGATCCCAGAATCAGGTTTCTATACACTCAAGCGGCAAGTTGGTGTGAGCTACTTCATGATACTTACTTTTCATCCTTTGCTGGATTGTTCTCTGCAATTATACAAAAGAAAACATTATGAGGCTGAGACTCTGTGGTGCACCTCACATAGATCTGTTATTCCCTTGGCAAGGGTAGAAAACAAGAAGTGGCACAGCGGCTGAGCCATAGGTCAACATCCTCAAAATCATGAGGATGCTTATGGAAAAATAAGGTCTTCATTCACAGAATTCATCTTTAAAGTTGATTTAATGGGCAAATACACAATGCTTAATCCAAGGAGGAAAACATGTTGAGGAAAGTACCTCTGCATTACAGCCGATAATGGATGCTGTCATTTGAAAACCTCCCAGTGTATTGCGTGTTAGTTGGGAAGACATTCCCACTGAATTTCACCCCCACAAAGAGAATTGCATATGCTGTACATAATGTACATTTTCAGATTTTCATATCCAGATTGAGAAGAAATCACAAAAGCAAAATTTCTTTAGAAGACAATAGAGGTTTTCCTCCTCCAGATCTTCTTCCTCTGTCCAGGGTCTGAGTCCAACCATGCTGGCCTGGTCATCTGAAGACACTGGAAGTACACAGAGGAAAGCTCAGTACCCTGGTGGTTGGTGGCTGTGAGTTACTCAGGGAGCTTTGCTGAATGTGGGGTATGGAGGTGGGTGATTATCAAGCATGGACTGAGTTGCTGCTGGGCTGTCCCCCTGGGTGGAAGAGGGCTGGCGAGGGAGGGCAGCGGGAAAGAGATGAGACATGGAAGTCTCCGCCTCGTACTAGAGGCATGATGCAGCAACACAGAAGAGTCAACAGAAAAAGGAAACTCAAATGCACACTAAGTTTCAATGGAAGAGTGCCTTTCTGTCTCTCACACATTTTGAAGCTCTTTTAAACAAACAGCATATTCAAGACTACATCAGTACTCTAGGACCCAATCATGCTGGTGCTACATTTAGCATCAGTTTTAAAGATGCATAATAAAAACCTGGGTTTACCCAGCCCCTTATCTGAACCCACTTCTTCTATTGATTCCAGGTTTTTAAACTCACCAATTGACAATCAAAAATCTTGAAATCTTCCTTATGACCTGGAGCCCCAACCTTCTCCCACTTTCTGTTGTCCCGTCTTTCTCAACGGAAGAAATTTACATCTTGCATGCATTAATTGATGTCTTATGTCTCCCTAAAACATGTAAAAACCAAACTCTAGCCCGATCACCTTGGATATGTGTACTCAAGACCTCCTGGGGCTGTGTCACTAGCATGTCCTTAACCTTGGCAAATTAAACTTCTAAGTTGATTGAGACTGGTTTTAGATAATCTTTTGGTTTGCAATGTATAATCATAGTGAGGTTTATTTTTTAGAAGAGGACACTAGGGATTTATTATGTCAAACAGAAGTAACAATAAATGTTTATGTGATTTATGTCCCAGGAACATTTTTCCATTTATGGATTCACATGAAGGGAAATAGCTGTCGCTGCAGTTTCAATCCTTGAATAAAAGCTAAGTTGATCAGACAGATGGATTCAATTCTAGGCAAAACAGTCTATTTTAGTTACGTACTGAACTTTTGTTATAGTCCAATGATGGAAGAATTGGAAACATTGAAATTATATTCTATAAAACAACTGGTGTTAATCACACGAATAGTTCCTTCTTCAGTCCACCTTTCCTTTGTCATGGAGGTGCAGTAATTGCCTATGGAGGCTTTTCTGTCTTGTCATTGTGTCTAATGAATGTAGTTTGCAGAATTTGATCATTTCTAGGTCTTGTGGTGATAAAAGTTTTCAGCTATCTCAAAAATATCCCATTCATCTTATTTGTTTGGGGCCAACTGTGAGGAATGTCCCCAGCACTGAAAGGAGTTTCTCAATATTTCTAAGTACCACTTCCTAATATTCAGAACTTGCACTTGACCCTGTTGTCAGGGGTATCTAAGGCAGCTCTGTAGTATTCACACCAATGGCCATGCCATATCCTGCAGTTACAATCACTGTTGTCTGCCCTAAGCCACGTGACTGCTGCAGCCATCTTGGAATCATAGGCAGTGTTTGGGATCTCTGTAGACTCATGTGTGAGGGAACCAACTTACAGCTACCCATGATGGTAGGGTTGAGAGCCATCCTCCTCAGGGTAATAACTGTAGTTCGACAATTCATTATCAATTCAGCTTTAGAGCTATAACCCTAGGTTCATATCTTGCCTCCTTCCTTTAGGGGCTTAAAAGCTGGGCACATTCATTAGCCCTTCGGTTTCTCCATCCAAGGAGTGTGTGGATAGTAAACAATCACTGTTTAGGTGAGCTCTGTAGTGAGGAGTGAATGGGTTTATTAAAATAAACTGTGTATTGTAGATCTTCAGAATGGTCAATTAAAAAAGAACTGACTTGCTTGATATCTCAAAGCTTAACACATTCCCAGACCTGCATGCATACCCAAGAGATAAGGTCCCAAGTCCGGGGGTGATGCCTAATGCACAAACTGCTCTGTCCAAAAATAGTTTTTAACTTAACTCTAACCTTGAGACAAAAGGAAGAGATATGAGTATCAAAAATGCTTTTGGTGACATCTGATTCCACACAGTAGCTACATCTGAAATAAAAGAAAATTTAAGTGCATGCTGTCTACAGAATGAGTCAGTGACCTGATGAAAAATCAACAGAGACCTCGTCAAATGGATTATGAACACCAGTTTACTTGGGGAGGAGAATTATCTACCATATTGGAAGGTTCCAGTATGTGATATCATATCCTGTATGATTTCTTTCTCTTAAATGTAAAGTGGCTCAAACTGAGGCTGTTGCCAAGTTACAGAGATGACTGTGGCTTGGCCTTGGCAAAGTGCTCTGGATAGTGTCACAAGGGACCTGATTTGTGCCTTCCTTCCTTCTGAGGAGGGTAACAGGTTGGGTGAAAGCATATTATTCATATCTCTGTACATAGGGAATTTTGAATAATCCACAAAAGTAAGTT